GCAGTCTCTAGTAATCACTATCCAAAAGTCATAAGAAATAAAAAAAGACTTTTTATTCTAGTCTCCACAAATGAAGATCATATAGTATTTGTCTTTCTATGTCTGCTTTATTTCACTTAACATAATGTTCTATGAAAATGGTAATTCCATTTCCTTTGGATATATATCCAAAAGTGGGAAAGCAGGATCACATGGGATGTCTATTTCTTTGTGTGTTTTAGAGGGAACTTCTTTTTTCCCCCCAAAGAAACCTTTTTCTTAAAGAATACAAACTTCATTCATTTCATAAATACAATTTTAATAACATAGTGATTCTTCCTACTGTACCCACCTTCCCACCCACACTTCCAATCCTCTTAATCCTACCTCTTCTATTCCCAGTCTTATTTTTAACTAAGATCTACTTTGAAATAAATTTATACACAGAAAATTAACTATATAAATAGCGCTCAACAAATTTTATGAAAAAAAAACAACTATTCCTCAACAGTTGAGAAAGCACTGTTTAATGTCATTGCATCTCGAATTAATTTCACTTATTTTCTTAAGCATTGTTTTTTTTGAGAAAATTAACTTTAAAGAAGAAACCAAGAATGATACATCTTTTGTGAGCACTTAGACATAATATAACTTATGAGAAATAAGAAAATCCTTCACTTAACACACTAAAACAAAGTAAATCTTTGAGAACAAGTTTTACTATTAACTCTCATAATACAGCTCTTTGAGGACAGAGGTCTTGCATGGGAAGTTAGTGCACAGTGACTCCTGTTGTTAATTTAACAATTAACATTCATGTATGACATCAGTGATCACCAGAGGCTCTTGAAATGAGCTGCCTAGGCTATAGAAGCCTTTTGAATCCACAAACTCCTTCATTATTTAGATAAGGCCATAAGTAAAGTGGAAGTTCTCTCCTCCCCTCAGAGGAGAACATTCTTCCTTGATGACCACTTCTTTCCACTTAGGTCTCACCCATAGAGGTTCTTCATGTAGGACACTTTTTTGCCACAGTGTCTTTCCATGCCTTAAATGCTCTCATGGGCTTTTCAGCCAGAGGAGTGCTTTAATGGCTGATCCTGAGGTCAGAGTGTTACTTAAAGTGATTATCACTCTATAGTCTGCTGTATGGATTGGTTCCCATGTTGGAGCATTCACTCCTTTTTAATTATATCTATTATTATTACCAAACAATCATACTTATATGATCACTTTGACACTTAATCCTATTCATATGATCACTTTAACACTTAAAATGAGTATATGAGTATAAAATTAATTGAAAATATATCTTAGTAAAAATTATACAGGAATAAGAGGGAGGAAGAAGGGGGATGGGAGTGTGGGTGGGATGAATCACCATGATCCTAAATTTGTAATTATGAAATGTATGAAGTTTGTAACTGTAAAATGGTATAGTTCTTCATGCAATCCTATGGATTTACTTCTAAGGGTATAGTTTAAAAATCTGCCATGAGACCCCAAATCCCCTTAAGCCAGGTGGTAAAAATAGCATTTTAAGTGTTAAAGTACATTTCATGTATTTCTTAATATAGTTTGAAGAAGATAATCATACTTGCTTCTCTCCTCCTCTCCCTCCCTCTATCCATCTGTTTCCTTCTTTCCTTCCTTCCCTCATTCATTCCTTCCTTTTATTTAATTTTTGCAAAGGCCTAATTACAATCTACTCTATAATCACAGGTTTAATTCACCTCTAGCCATATAATTCAACAAGTAAAAAGTATGAAAGTCGCATTCCCACAAGATTATAAACAGAGGCTAAAAATAACAATGGTATAAAAATATGTCCACTATATTCTATACATTTTTGTATTCTATATTAACTGCAACATATCAGAGAAAACATATGATGTTTGTCTTTATGGGACTGGGTTATTTAACTAAGCACAATGGTTTCCAGTTGCACCAATCTATTTTAAACTCATTTCTTGCTTTGGTCTGTTGCAAATCTCTATGTCTTCATAGTTTAATTTTGATAGGCTGCATGTGCCAGAAAATTTTTCTTTTCTTTTTCAATTTGTTGGAGTATATTTTTCTAATGATCTTTGTGTTTCTGTATTGTCAATTTTAAAGCCATATTTTCATCCATGATTTTATTTATTTAGTTCCTGTGTTTTTACTGGTTTTTCTAGATATGCATTTGCTAACTTTACCTTTTCAAATAACTGACTCTTCGTTTCACTGATCTTTCACAGTTTTTAAATACTGCACATATGTGAAAAACATGCTCTAGATCACTAGCCATCAGGGAAATGTAGATAAAAACCAAGAGTGATAAATTCATAACTGATCATAAAGATAGGATTAAGTGTCAAAGGGATCACATAAATAAGACCAAGTGTCTGCTAATGATAATTGACATAATTAAAAAGAAGAGAGCAATCCAACATGGGAAGCAGGACACAGGGCAGACTCATAGAATGACAAATGCCCTAAACAGCACTCTGGCCTCAGAATCAGCCCTTAAGAATTTAATCTGGCTAAAAGGCCTGTGAGAGCATTTCAGGCATGGAAAGCCAAGACACTGTGGCAAAAAAAAAAAAAAAAAAAAAAAAAAAAAAAAAAAAAAAAAAAAAAAAAAATGACGTAAATGAAAGATCTCTGTGAGTGAGGTCCCGGTGGAAAGAAGGGGCCATGAAATAAGGAGGTACTTTTCTCTGAAGAGAGGAAAGAACTTCCACTTTGATTATGGCCCAGTCTAAATAAGGTTGTAGTTTGTAGAGTCAAGAGGCTTCCATAGCCTTGGCAGCTCATCACAAGAGCCTCAGGTGGTCATTGACATCATAAATAAGAGTGTCAATTGTTAAATCAACAACAGGAGTCACTGTGCACTTGCTCCCAATTTAGGACATCTGTCCTTAAAACCGCTATAATCCAAAAGTTGTACTTATGAAATTTATATTTATTAAATAAAAGCTTTCTATTAAAAAAACACAATGAGGTATCACTTCACCCCAGTTAGAATTGATCTCGTACAGAAATTTAAAAATAAAGTAAGTGCTAACAAGGTTGTAGGAAAAAAGTACCCTAAACCACTGTTGATGGGAATGTAAACTAGTATAGCCATTGTGGAAGAGAAGACGGCATGGAGATTACTCAGAAATCTGCAAATGGATCTACCATATGAACCAGCCATCCTACTCCTGGAAATTTACCCAAACAAAAAGAAATTAGCATATGAAATAGTTATCTATACCCCTATGTTTATTGCAGCTCAATCCACAATAGCTAAGATATAGAATCAAACCAGATGTCCATCAACAGATAAATGGATAATAAAAATGTATTATATATATGCTATAGAAAATTATTCAGCCATAAAAGAGGATGGAATCCTGTCTTTTGCAACATAATGGATGCAACTGGAAACCATTGCATTTAATGAAAAAAGTTTGTTACAAAAAGACAAATATCATATGTTTTCCTTGGTCTGTAGTAACTAATAGACTACAAAAAATGTAATGCATATGAGAAAAAATTGACATTTTGAGGCTTGATTATTGTTTATAACCCTTGTTTCTACTGTTAAGGAGCGGCATTTTTTTTCTTATTATTATTAGTTAAATTCTTTACTTAGTGGAAGGTTAAGCTTATGATTATAAAATAAACCAAAAGTATGTTATTGTAAAAATTCAAAGAAAGAAAAAGAAAGGAAGAAGGAGGGTGAGAGCATGTGTGGGAGGGAGCATAGGGTGGGAACTATCACTGTGTTCCTAAATTTGTATATATAAAAATTGTTCACCTTATATAAATAAAAAATGAATACAAAAAAGCAACCTATATAAGTGATTGAAATATAGTTTAGAATAAATGCAATTCCTGGGTTGATTAAGATAAAATGGCATTTCTAGTCATCAGTCTTAACTAAGAAACTCAAAATGGAAAAGCAAATGAATCAAAATATTTACTATGGTTGGAGCTGGCATTGTGGCATAGTAGATAAAGCTGCTGCCTGAGGTGCCGGCATCCCGTTTGGGTTCTGGTTCAAGTCCTTGCTGCTCCTCTTCCAATCCAGCTCTCTGATATGGCTTGGGAAAGCAGTGGAAGATGGCCCAAGTGCTTGCGCCCCTGCACCCACACGGAAGACCTGGAAGAAGCTCCTGGCTCCTGGCCCTTGGCTTCAGATCAGTGCAGCTCCGGCCGTTGCAGCCAACTGGAGAGTGAACCAGTGGGTGGAAGACCTCTCTCTCTCTCTCTCTCTCTGCTTCTCCTTTTCTCTCTGTGTAACTCTGACTTTCAAATTAATTAATTAAATACATATATATATTTATTGTGTTTAAAATTTACTTAATATAAATTTTATATACATAATAATAGTATCACATAGGCAAGTGAAGGATACATAGAATTAAGATAAATGCATTAGCAGGAAGTAGTATCACATAGGCAAGTGAAGGATACATAGAATTAAGATAAATGCATTAGCAGGAAGTAGTAACATTATTTATAGCAAAGTTTAATGGTTAGGATCATATAAAATTTTATATAATGACCAATAAATATAATGAGACATTATTAAACTAACAAGGTATAAGTGGTAAAACAATAAAATTAATGTGGTATGAAGAAATTATGAATAATCTGTTGACAATAAACACAGAAATTTGGATAACTTAAAACACTTAAAAAATATGACTTAAAAAGGACTATCTAAATAGACAATCTGAACACAGATTTATTTTTTTGAAATGGCCATGAAATTCTAAACACTCTGTATAGATATTTCCCAACATATAAGGCCTCACTGAATTCTAACTGATCTTTAAGGGGAATACAAACACACACACACAAACCACCCCCACTGTTCATTGGGAATAAAGACAAAGGGAATTTTTTCACCTCATTTAGTGAGGTGAAAACACCCTAAATATCAATATCTGAAAAAGACATGGCAAGAATCAAATGCACACAGATGAAAAACTCTCAACAAATTATTTGCCAACTGAATCTATACACATACACACCATGAACAAGAAAGATAAACTACACAGACATAATTTTATTTTATCATTTTCAAATCAGTATACAACACATCAAGAGAATGCAAGATATAAAATGCTTAGTTATCTCAAAAGTTACATAATAAACAAATATTACATGTGATATATGAATGGATCCTATTATTGGTAATATCTAATAATTCACAATGTTAATTGGTTTCCTACTTGTACATAGATTATAGTACTTATAATCTGTGAAAAGTCTGACTTGATCTAATATATTTGATGACATACTGATTCCTGGGCTGACATCTTGAGCTCCTGAGATTCCCACAATGTATTGCAAATGAGGGAGATAATGTCAAAAAGATTTACAGGATATTCTGATATGACCTGCCAAGAACATAAGAAAATTCGAGTGAGATAAATATGTATGATATTCACATGTCCATATTCACAGAATCATTATCAACAATAGCCAAAGGTGGAAGCAAGTGAAGTGAGCATTAATAAATGAATGGATAAACAAAATGTGGTACATAGAATGGAATATTAATCAGTCTAAAGAAGTATGGAAGTGCTGACAACATGATAAACCTTGAAGATACTATACTAAGTGAATAAGATAGTCACAAAACTTTCTGTATGAATTAACTTATATGGAAGAACCAGAGTAAGAAATAAAATTCATAGTGTTGGAAAGTAGAACGGTCGTAGCCAGGGCCCAGGGTGAGGAGGGCCATGGGGTGTTATTTAATGAAAAGTGAGTTTCAGTTTTGCAAGAGGAAAGCGGATCTGGAGAGGGTAATGCTAAATGTTGCACAATAATGTGAATGTACTTGACTCATCTGCACACTTGAAAATAGGAAAGGTGATAAAATTTTTATAGCTGTACAGAGGAGACGGGGAGTTGGGAAGAAAGGGTCTGGTGAAAAGATTGACATTAACATTATTAAATAAATAAAATGGTTGGAACCCCTGGGGAGGTGGGCAGAAGGAAACACTAAAGAATAGTCACTCACCGGCGCCTCCAAAACCATAAGGCCAAGAACAACAAAAAGATTAAGCCGGACACTATTATTGCCAGAAATATCATTCCAATGGAGATCGAGCTTCCTGGCAAGTGAGAGAGAACACAGTGATGTCACTTCAAATTCCCTACAGCCCGTTGTGACATCACCACAGGTCACCTGCTGCCAATGTGTGGTCATCTCCAGATCCCTCTCATCCAGATACCATTCTCTCTCTCTCTCTCTCTCTCTCTCTCTCTCTCTCCTCTCTCCTCTCTCTTCTCTCCTCTCTCCTCCCTCCTCTCTCCTCTCTCCTCTCTCACTCTCTCTCATCATCATCATCTCTAAACCGTCCCCAGTTCCTCCCTCCATACATAAAAGCTACCGACTGCACTTCCACACCCAGGCCCTGATTCTCTCTCACCCCAGTAGAGGATGATGTCTTCATTTCCTAGACTGCTGTGCTTCACCCGACAGGACAGGCCAGACGCCTCCCCAGCTGCCACGTCCAGGGTTACTCGGAGATACCACGTCCCGTCAGCATAGGGGAGGGTGTCATTTCTCTGAGCCAACTTCTCCTGCTCCCCCTGCATCCACCTCGCCCACACAGGCTTTGGGTAGAAGCCAGACACATGGCACACCAGCAGCAGACGGCCAGGTCCGGGATTGGGGCCACTGGACAGCCAGGCCCTGGGTTTCACTGAGGCAGGAAAGAAAAAAGGAAGTGTACACCTTGTGACCGCATTACAGAGCCTAGGGACCAAGAAACCCACAAGTTGGACAGCATCCCCTTCGACTCCTTTGGACTCCTAATAAAAGCCCCTCTTCTTCCTGGATACTCTCCTTCTGAAGCTTAGAAGTGAGACAGATGGGACTTACCTTGCCTCCGCAGCTCTGCCTTCCCAGCTTCAAGGACACCCAGGAGGTACCGGGGGCAGGTTTCAAAGATGAGTTTCCCCACGATTTCAGTGATACCTCTGTACTGAGCGATGAGTGTGCATACTTTCTTTGCACTGATGCCACCTTCTGGGGCAGGCCAGCATGAATGATTCCTGAGGGACAGAAAATCCTGCCCTCCTAAACCTCCCCTCAAGAAGCTTTTGATGACACCTCCAGAATGCAGCTCACAGCCTGCTATGCCTTGCAGCTCAAACGGGTCTGGAAGAGGGGAAAACAGACACCAAGTCATTGAACAGTAAGCAAGAAACAAAGGCATGGCGAGAAGAGAGGAGTGTGTGTTTTTGTGGAAAAGATATTCAAGAATGCAAAACGAGTCAGAAACCATCTACAGCATTCAGATATTTTCAAAAAACATAGCACTGGAGAGAGGTACTTGTGTTAAGAGTGGGGAGAGGGCTGCAGTCAAGTTATACAGGGAATAACAGAGTGGGGAGAGGGAGAGTGTGTGGAACCTCATAGTGGAGTGACAGGCACAGTGTTTCAGAATGAGTTCCAAGGAGGGGTTAAGGGAGGAGAAGGCTGAAGAGCTGGAGTGGAGGAGGGAGCCACATCACGGGTCACTCAGACACAGGGAAAGAGAAATAGGGGCCTTGATCACTGAATTTCACAGAGGCGAGTCTGGATTGGAGAGAGAGGGGAAAGCTTGCTCTCCCAGAGAAAGGATCTGGACTGTTTTGGGGAGGTGTGGACACACCATGAGAAACTACAATAGAGAGGAGTGTGTGTGAGGTTGGGTATAGGAGAAAGGAGGGAAAACAGACCATAGGGAGCCAAGAAAGCAGAAACAGTCAAGCAGCATCCCCAAGGGAGAAGGCTGGACTCACACTTCATCTGGAATTCAGTGACGTGGTCTCGCAGTTCTCGAACGAGTCCAAAGAAGTAGACCCGGAACAGCTCCACCAGCTCAGTAATTTCCTCATCGCTTAAGTTTCCCTTAGACCAGGGCTTCAGGAAGATGGCAGTGCCCGTTTCACTATCCCACCTGTGAATCTGCAAATCTTCCAGCCAGCCTGAGCCTCGATTTTCTGTCCAGGTGCTGTTTGTAAAGGAAGAGATCTGCATGACATGGTAAGACGTCGGCCCCTGGAGGGCTGCAAAGAGAGGAAGGTTAGCATGGTGAAGGGAAAAGGACAAGCAGGAGGAAATGAGAAAGAATGAAATTTGAATAGACTCAGACAAGGCCCATAGTCTAAAGAGCACACAAGACATTTGGATGTCCCAGGGCTGTTGGCTTCCAGCATAGTGAGAAAGGACGAGCGTGAGCTAGAGCAGGGAGGACCTGGACGCTCAGTGCCCAAGCACACCTGCAAAAGTGCAGCAATGCTTGCATCCAGACTCCGCACCAGCACTAGCGGCTGCCCGAGTTACTCTTACCATCCTCATTGTCACCACCGGGGAAGCGACCTGCCAGTAATAGAAGTGGCAGAAGCAGCATTTCACCAGGAGTTAAAACTTCTTACTCTCAGAGCTGGTGTTTGATCTCTGGTTTTATCAAACCTTTTTCTCAGTCCTCTGTAGTGACTTCCTCTCTGTTCTGAATGGCAAGTATCTTCCTCATCCACATTACGTATACAAAAAAAAAAGTGCTCCCCCACCCTGTGCCTCCTACCTCTCATTTCCCCTCCATCTCTAACTTCTAAATCTCTTACTATCATGGCTTCATTTGGTTCCTCAGCTTCCTCACACTACTTTGGAAAACCACCCATGTAATTCTGAAAGATCAGTAACATTGGTTCACCTCCTCGATCTTTTATTTTTAGATCTTTAAAATAAGCGGTGAAATTATATAATCTCTCAATTTCCAGACTCCTTCAATCTAGAAGGATTCTGTGATTTATTCAAACAACTCGCTCTCCAGTGTGCTTCCTTCTGTGGCATTTTGCTATCACCACATCCTGATGTCCTCAATATCTCCTCATTCTTAACCAGCTCTCCTTGTCTTATCTCCCTAACCTCACATTAATCATTTGTGTGTAATATTCACTTACATAACAATGAAGCATTTAAAACACCAACTGGATTACAGAACCCCAGACCCAAATCTCACCATCAGGTATGATATATGCTGCAGTTTATAATCCAAACAAAAAAAAAGTTTATCTTACAGAGATTTGGGGGAGTAAAAATGCATTTGCTACTGGTATATGATTTTCTTTTCAGTAGCTCTTACCTTTGGAGCCTGGAATAACAATGTGTGTGACAGAGCAGTTGCCTGGGAGCTATGCCATGTGTTCTTCCAACTGAATTCAGTAACTGTGGATAGTGTTCAACAAGGAGTAGACCCTTGGGGTGAATCTTGCGGCACAGCAGGTGAAGTCACCTCTTATGACACCCATAACCCATAAAGGAATGTGTTTTGAATCCCAGCTTCTTGTATATGACCTCATAAGCTTCTTACTCTTACCTGTATTTGGGGATTCAGTAAAGAATATCCTAGCAACTCTCCCTGGAGTTCCAACCTCCTGGCTTCAGCTTGACTCAGCCCTGGCTGTTGCAGTCATTTTGGGACTGAACCCATGAATGGAAGATCTATTATTTTGCATCTCAAATGTTTTTCAAAGGGCTTAAATTAAAAATGTCAATCTCACTCCTATACATTACATTCTGGAACTCTTAGTTACCTCATTGTTCAGATTTCCCTTAGACCAGGGCTTCAGGGAAAACATATAGTATTTGTCTTTTTGGAACTAGCAAATAAGCCAATTCCAAAAATACAATACTATATGCTGATCGGGACACAAAATCGAGGCTCCAGCTGGTTGGAAAATTTGCAGATTCATAGGTGGGATAGTGATGCAGGCACTGGCATATTCCTAAGTATAATGGCTTCCAGTTGCATTCATTTTGTTGCAAAAGACAAGATTTAATTCTTTTTATTAATATGGTTGAGTAGTATTCCATAGTGTATAATACCATAATTTCCATCTGGGTTGATATTCAATGATTTTTTACAATCCTTGTCTCTACTACTGAGGAATAGTATATTGTTTTCCTTAAAGATTCAGCCAAAATATAAAAGTTTGTTGTACTCCTACATTAATAATAAATCTAATTATAATGAAATCAAGAACACAATCCAGTTTCAGATAATTGGTATGATGGTTCAGATGCTGCCTGTGAAGCCCAAATTATGTATTAGAGTGCCTGGGTTCTGCCCAGCTCCACTCCTGATTCCCAGATCTTGGCAATGCACACCTTGAGATGCCTCAGGTGATGGCTCAAGCAGCTGTGTCTGTAGCTGCTGGCTTCAGCTTGGCCTTGGCCCAGACCTGACTGTTACAGGCATTTGAGGAGTTAATCAGCATATGAAAGGTCTCTTTCTCCCTCACTTTTCTCTCTCTCACTCTACTCTCTCTCTCTCTCCCTCTCTCTCACCTCTCCCTCTTTCAATGAATGAACTAAAGTAATTACAGCAGCAACCCTATTTACAATAGCATCAAAAGAAGAAAAATCATTAGGAATAAAGTTAACCAAAGCAGTGAAAGACTTGTACAATGAGAACTAAAATGCATTGATGAAAGTAAGTAAAGGAAGCACAAATTATTTGAAGGATATTTTGTGTTCCCAGATTGAAAGATATTAATACTATAACAATCTACAGACTAAATGTTATCCTAATCAAATCCCAGTAATAGATTTTAAATAAAATAGAAACAGAAAAAAACTAAGGTTTATGAAACAGAAGACTCAGAACATAAGCAACCTTTAAAAAGAAGTATATAACTGTAGATATCTCATTTTCTAATTTCAAAATATATTATAAAGCTACAGAAATTAAAGATGATGGATAACTGTTGGTGGGAACGGAAAGTGGTACAGCCACTGTGGGAGACAGTATGGAGATACCTCAGAAATCTGAATATAGACCTACCATATGACCCAGCCATCCCATTCCTAGGAATTTACCAAAGGAAATGAAATCAGCATATGAGAGAGTTATCTGTACCCCCATGTTTATTGCAGCTCAATTAACAATAGCTAAGATATGGAATCAACCCAGATGTCTGTCAACTAAAGACTGGATACAGAAATTATGGGATATATACACCATGGAATACTACACAGCAGAAAAAAATGAAATCTTGTCATTTGCAACAAAACGTATGAAACTGGAAAACATCATACTTAGTGAAAAAGCCAGTCCCAAAGTGACAAATATCATTCATTCTCCCTGAGATAACTAACAGAGTACATAAAAGGTAATTTATAGAAGTGAAATTGACACTTTGAGGTGCCATGATTTTGAGCAGCCCTTGTCTCAGCTGTTAATAGGTTTTTTTCCATACTACTTGTTGAACTGTTTACTTAGAGTAGGTTTAATCCTAGGTGTATAAAGTTAATTGAATATAGGTATATGTAAAAAGTAAGAGTAGGAATAGGAGATGGAGGAGGAAGAAGGGTGGGAGTGCAGGCATGAGGGAGGGTAGGGTGGGAAGAATCACTATGTTCCTAAATTTGTATATATATATGAAATGCATGAAGTTTGCATATCTTAAAGATTTCTAGGTTAAAAAAAGATGGATACATTAACTCACCTGATATAATCATTCCACAGTACATAAATGTATTATGGCATTATACACACAAATGTGCAATTATTATTTGACAAATTAAAATATAATTATTTTAGTCTGACATTATAGGATTGGCATCAAGATAGATGTATGAAGGGTTTCCAAAAAGTTCTGAAAATGTATATTATGAAAAAATTATGTATGGATATCAAAAACTTTTGGCAACAAAATAAGCATATCTGGGTGCAAGTGTATTAGCAGCCATCAACTGATAGTTTGCTCCACTTTAATTTTCAGTCATAATTGTGTAATCTGAATCAATTGAGATTTCTATGATGTTGGCTATTGTTTTTGACTTTTTCCCTTTAAAAGTTAATGTTAATGATCTACTGCTGTGGTTTGCATTTTCAGCATCACCTTGTCCCTTCTTAAAGTGAGTAATCCAAGGGTGGGTGTCGTGGTGTAGTGGGTAAAACAGCTGCCTGTGATGCTGGTTTCTCCTATGGGCACCCATTCCTGTTGCAGCTACTCCACATATGATCCAGCTCCCTGCTAATGGCCTGGGAAAATCAGCAGAACATAGCCTAAGTTCTTGGGCCTGCCACCCACTTGGAATACTCAGATGAAACTCCTGGCTCCTGACTTCAGCCTGGTCCAGCCCAAGCTATTATGACCATTTTGGGAGTGAACCACAGGATGGAAGATCTCTCACTCCCTCTCTTTCTCTTCCTCTCTCACTGTAATGCTGGCTTTCAAATAAATGAATAATTATTTTTAAAATGCTAGTTAATCATAAACTATTGAATTTTGTAGGGGATTGTCCCTATAAATTTTTCATAAAGCACTGATGATTTCGCCATTCTTCCATGCAAAGCTCACCATTATAAATGTATCTTCTTGCTTCATTTTAGCAGAATTCAGATTCTTTTGATATAGGCTCTTTTCAAAATGATGTTCTATCCTTTTTTTTTCATTTTCAATTATCTTTATATACAGAAGATCAACTTAGTTTATATTAAGCAAGGATTTCAACAGTTTGCACCCATACAGATACACAAAGTATAAAGTACTGTTTGAGTAGTAGTTTTATCATTAATTCGCATAGTGCAACACATTAAGGACAGAGATCCTACAAGGGGAGTAGGTGCACAGTGACTCCTGTGTTGATTAACAATTGACACTCTTATTTATGATGTCAGTAATCACCCAAGGCTCTTGTCATGAGCTGCCAAGGCTATGGAAGCCTCTTGAGTTCACAAACTCCGATCTTATTTAGACAAGGCCATAGTCAAAGTGGAAGTTCTCTCCTCCTTTCAGAGAAAGGTAACCTCCTTCTTTGATGACCCATTCTTTCCACTGGGATCTCACTCGCAGAGATTTTTTTTTTTTTTCCACAGTGTCTTGGCTTTCCATGCCTGAGAAACTCTCATGGGCTTTTTAGCCAGATCCGAATCCCTTAAGGGCTAATTCTGAGGCCAGAGTGCTGTTTAGGACATCTGCCATTCTATGAGTCTGCTGTGTATCCCACTTCCTTTATCGGATCATTCTCTCCTTTTTAATTCTATCAGTTATTATTAGCAGATACTAGTCTTGTTTATGTGATCCCTTTGACATTTAATCCTATCATTATGATCAATTATGAACTGAAACTTAGAGCCTATTCAGACATGTTATAACATATTAGTTTGAGTTTGGTTTAGTTAAAAATATTTCCATCCATGCTAGTTTTTTCAATAATATTTATTTACATTAAGTTTTAGACAATAATACTATTATTTTTATGGGTGAATATGCAAGACATTAAGGTAGCTAAAACAAGACAGACATGGAAAAAAATGCATATCACTTCTATGTACAATCAAACAGAGACTAAAACAGTGGCTCCTAAGGGTGGAGAATAGGGAGAAGAAATGCAAAGATGCAAAAAGCAGATGTATAAAATGAAGAACTCTAGAAATCTAACACCAACATGAGGACTATAGTAAATAATACTATATTGTGCTGTGGGGTGTTACTGAAGTACGCATTTTGGTGCTCTTTCCCCTACAATGAATGAATCACTACAGGAGATGATGAAAATATCAGTATGTTTGACTCTGATACCCATTTCACAATTGATATGTATATCAAGGTATCCTGCTGTGGATCTTAAATATATACAATTGGATTGTTTAAAATTAAAAACCCATCCTAATTTTGCATAAAATTTGTATTCTCTCTGAAACATAAAACCTTGGTCTAAGTCTCTAATTACCAAGTCTTAAGCCAATTTGAAACAATACAGTAAGGAATGACTTTTTTAACTTGACAATGAATAATTTTATACTGGCAAAGATAGAGGAAGAAGGGTAGAGAAATGCCATTTCTCCACTACACAATTTTGAAAAACTTATCAATCCATAATTAAAATAAATTTCATTTATAGTTTTATCATCAATATGTTTCAACATGTTTTTGTAAAGTATGGAAATTATTTTCTTACATAAAATTGCATTTTAATTAGAAAAATTAAAAATATTTAATATCTTTTTAAATCTAGTAAGTATTCAAATTTTCCCAACTATTTCATTGTTTTAATTGTATATTTTATCAAATGAGAATAAATATATTTATTTATTTATCCATATATTTACTTATGTATTCATAAATGAGAATAAGTATATTTTATTGATATTGTTTAATATTTCAAGCCATAAGAGATGCCTCTCATTTACAGCTTACAATGCATTTTTTAAAAAGTTGCATCATTCTTATAAACTTGTACAAAATCTGCATTTTACCGGTTATACAGCCATTATACATTTAAGATGTCCTTTTTAACTGCTTATTTGCTATATACTGAAGAATTTGTGGTGTGATCAAATTTTAGTTTAATTGTAATTTGTACCTCGCTCAAGAGTTATATATATATTTTTTTTTAATTTTTTGACAGGCAGAGTGGACAGTGAGAGAGAGAGACAGAGAGAAAGGTCTTCCTTTTGCCGTTGGTTCACCCTCCAATGGCCGCCGCGGCCGGCGCACCGCACTGATCCAATGGCAGGAGCCAGGTACTTCTCCTGGTCTCCCATGGGGTGCAGGGCCCAAGCACCTGGGCCATCCTCCACTGCACTCCCGGGCCACAGCAGAGAGCTGGCCTGGAAGAGGGGCAACCGGACAGAATCCAGTGCCCCGACTGGGACTAGAACCCCGTGTGCCGGCGCCGCAAGGCAGAGGATTAGCCTAGTGAGCCGTGGCGCCGGCAAGAGTTATATATTATGTAGTGTTTTCTGTTCATTAACTTGGTCACCATGTCTCTCAACTATTTTACAGTTTAAAAAATTTTTGAGGATATCAAAACAATAGAAATGTACAATATACCAAAATATTTGCATTAAAAATGGTAAATTTTATGTCAAGTACATTTTACAATAAAAAAGGATTGAGAATCCCCAAAATTTTGCCCATATAGATGTGTTTATGTAAAATGTATTACTCTGCCTTCAAAATTAAAATAAATTTTAAAAATAAAATGTATGACTACATAGTTAGAAACTTGTCTTGGAAGTAAATTATAAAAGTTTTTTATAAAAAAATAAAAAGTAAATTATAGACATAAAATAATACATTAATTACACATCAACAAAATATCTTCTTTTTCTCATTTTATGCAAAAAGCAGAGACACACAGAGAGAGAGAGAGGGAGGGATCTTCTATCCACTGTTTCACTCTTCAAATGCTCACAACAGACATAGAAGACCAGGTGGAATCCAGGAGCTGGCCAATCAATCGAGGTCTCCTACATGAGTACCTGAGCCATCATTTATTGACTCCAAAGGTTGTACATTCGCAAGAAGTTGAATTCAAGTAGAGGAGCCAGGACTCAAATCAGTGTCTCTGATACAAGATATGAGCATCCCAAGTGAAGTCAACCACTTCACCACAGAACAACCATGATTATCATGTTGAAGTTTTCCAAATGTTTATTGAGGAGGATGGCTTTATACTTCTCTTTATTTTTACATTTTTTCAGTTCTCTTTAAAGCTGGCTTAAAAGAAAAGTTATTTTCATATCTGCTTGGACATGCAATCTGATCAAGCATAATATTCTATGCAGTGACTGGAGAACAGAATGCAAAATCTAAATATCACTTTAGTATTGCAGTAATAATCTTGAGTGCATTCCCTCTGAAGGGATGTCAGGGACATTGAGGTATTTCTGACCACACCTTAGTACTGTTCATCTTCATTTATTTGTTAAAATAGTTATGAAAAGAGATATTTGCTGAAGTAACTATCTCACTATGTTGAAGTAAACAAACAAATATTTTACTTAATCCTTTGCAATTATTTATCAGTTTTCAAGAGAATGAATGATTTGTATGGAATACCACATAGGTAGGAAAATTTGAGCAAAGACATCTGTGGCTACAACTTAGAGAGCAGTCAGAATGTACAAAATTAGCCACTTTGCTGAAAATGTTCATTTTTTATTATGGAAGAATAATGTTCTATTGTATACATGTACCAAATGCAATTTATCATTCAACCATCAATGGACACCTAAGTTGATTACATATCTTGATGTTATGGGTTGAAGAGAAATTGGTTCCCCAAACTCATACAAATATTTAAATTCTGCTGTCTTAATATTAGGTTTGGTGGTTTAAGAGTGAAGACGGGACATAACTGTTGCTTCTGAGAGGTGGGTCTTGGGGGAGGTCTTTGGGGCATTAGGGACATGATCTTGAGGAACAATTCTCATGGGAGAGTTGATTCTTTTGAGCCAAGTTTGGCTAGCTCCTCTACCTGCTCTCTTGACCAATATGTGATAGTTTTTCTGCACTCATTCTACCATTGTCATCCTCCAACAAATGCCAGACTAGGGGGGCAGCCTGTTCCTGAACTGTGACCTTCAAGCTGAGAACCAAAATAAACCTTTTCCATTCCAAGAAGCCTCTCTTGGGTATTTTAGTCAGATGAGAAGATGACTCATACCCTGAGCTACTGCGAATACACATGGGAGTCTCTTCATTGTGGTGATTTCATATTTTCTATGAAATCACACGAAACATTATATTTTGGATATATACCCAAAAGTGGGATAATGCAGTTATATTGTTGATCTGTTTTTCCTTGCTTTGTTTTTTTTTTTTTTGTCAGAATCATCATATGTTGTCCATAATAGCTATATTAACTTGCATTCACACCAACAGTATTTAAAGGTTTCATCTCCTCACATTCACCAGCATTTGTTGTTTTTGTGATTTGATAGTAGGCTTTCTAACTGGAGTCAGGTGATAATTCATTGTGTTTGGATGACATGGAGATTTTCAGCAAAATGGGTGGGACTGGATGTCATAACTTTAAGTGAAATAGACCTAGACTCAGAAAAAGAATACTTCATGTTCTCTCTCCCACATGAAATTTTCAAAAATAGAAATGAAAGAATAATTACATGTATATGATAAATTTGAATTGAAAGTCATTATTATTAGGATCTAGGAAAGGAGCAGTGCAGGGAAAGAAGGCAAGGGGACTGGGTACAGGATAACAAAACACAATTATG